TTGAACTTCAGCTCCCATAAGAATTGCAAATAATAATGTATCTGCATTACATTCAGCTCGAACATTTCTACTAATCCGTTGTTTTTGAGCTTCGACAGATGTTGTTTTCATTTGTATTATATTTTTCCTTATTTGAACTTAAATAGGCAACACAGCATTTTGCCTATCAAATCTAAAGGAAAAGCCATTATCTAACTTGACTACATTTTAGTTTGTTGAATATTTTCTTTAAATCTTCTTTTTTTTTTCAATCAACAATTCTTATTCCATTTTGACTTTCAAATACTTCCCACTCTCTTCTATCATATTTCTTCGGGATATTCTCTTAACTATCCCATTTTTTAAAAATGACAAATTTCTCATTGCCTATTGACCCCCTATTTCATCCAACGGGATTCAAAAGAGTCTGCCTGTCTATTACTGAAAAAAAAATGACCTTTCCTAATGAGAAATTCTGTTTCTTCTTCTATCTCTAAAATAACAAAATTTAATAACAAAATAATAATAATAATAAATTAATATTCAACATGAAAATCAAAGTTCCATTTGATTTGTGAGGAAGATATGGCAGGAAAGCGCTTGTGATAACTGTTTTACAGAGTCTTGTTGTTTTGAAATAAGTAAATGATCAAACCAATCTCTTAAAGAATTGTCTTGACATATGTCTTCAATCTCAAGATTTTGTTGAAGGAGAAATTGAAGAAAGTGAAGTGATGACATAAGAAGGTCTTGATTGTCGATTGGAGTTAAAGTTACCATTTTAATTAAAGCCATTTTCTCTTCAATTGAAAAAGGGTCATGATTTAAAGAAGACTTTATTATTGTTTTAAAAGTTAACCGAGTTAAACTAAGACGAAGTATTTCATCAGAAACAGATAAAGTTTTCGAAGGTAAATCACGGAAAGTGCTAGATTTAAATAATTTTTCTGAGAAAGACTCTGAAGCATCACTCACATTATTTACACAATCTAATATTAATCGGCGTGTAGTGAGGCTAGAATAGTCGTTATTTTTTAAGAACAAACTTAAACATAACTCTTCTATTTCTTTACAATAAACTTGACTTGTAATATTTCTCAATAGTCGTAAAGCTGCTGTGATAGCAGAATCGTTTGCTTCACATGAAAGGTTGATGAATCGAAGAAGAGTGATAAGATAGTTATTGTTAATAACATTAATATTGTTAGCAACTATTTCTCCTAAAATAACGAAGGCAGTAGTTTTAGTTTTGTCTTCTGGAATAGTTAACAGTCTAATAGTCAGAGGAAGAAAAGATGTTAAAACCTTTTCATCATGAACTTTACTTGAAATACAACGAATTAACCAAATCAGGGAATACGGAATCTTTTGAGAAGTTTCAAAAGCTTTTAATAAACGTTGTGGTAATTGATTCTCCATTGAGTATTTTAGAATTAATGGAGAGTCAAGAAGGAGATTACATAAACAACCACAACCTAATCCAATTAACTCATTTTCATTTAAAGAATCCATGAGAATTGGAAAAATATTATATTTAATTAACTCATTATTATAAATTGAATCAAAACCTGTTATATTTTGGATGATACTAAGAAATATTTGTTTTTGATGAATGTTCATTAAGATGTATTGTTGGGTTAATTTATAAATAACACCGCACATAAACATTTCAGTAAAAGGAGGGTGATTTTGTCGTGATGAATTATTGTAAATTTGTTCTAGAACTTTGTTAAACTGTTTTTCCTCTAATTTATTTTCATTTAATTGTTCATAGATATTATGATACCGTTCTTCGTAGCCACGTGGAGATAGTCTTGGAGACTCATCGTCAATAACAGAAACAATTCGTTGTGATGCCAACATTAGTTCTCTTCTTCCTTTTCTTTTTTCAGATAAAACAGCATTTCGTTGTTGACACTGTTGTTTTAAGTTATTAGAGCTTCTGAGTGAAGACATTCTTTGTATATTAAGATCATTCCTGAAAAAAGAGTAATGAAAAGAGAAAACAAATAAAAATGTTTTATATACATATAACAATAAAAAGAAAGTATTATTTTGTAAGTTACAATATAAGAATTTTTAAAAAGAGAAAAACATGGAGTTACCCAAATTTATTGTCATAAACTCCAATAAATATCTTGAAATTAAATATAATGAGAACCAGTGTTCAGATAACCAAACAATTTCAAGAAGAGTATCTTCAAATGGCTAAAAGAAATGTTCTTATTGTAGAGGATATTCGTTCAGCTGAAAAAGAGTTATATAAAAAGTCACAACGATGGGTTCAGAGTATTGCTGGTTTGTTGAGACTATTTGTTTTAAGATTCAATCCTCATTTTTTCCAATATATTTTGTTAATCAAGATGTTTTTATAACTAAAGTAAAAACACTAACAACTTTAGTTGCTGCACGTGCAGGAATTCATGTTTCAGAAACTCTAAAATCATATAATGACAAATTTGAAAATATTGACGTTAGTAATATCCAACGTGTGTGTGTTGCTTTACAACAATTTGGTGAAATAGTTTATAATTTTGTACAAGTATTAGACCAATTACAATTAGATTTGGACCAATGTCTTTGTGAATCACTTCGTTCGTTTATTGATGAAGAGTTATCAATTGCTATAAATGGGCCCAAACTTGATTCTATTAAAATAACAACACCAACTACAAATCCAAAATTATCACAATCAGTTGCAATTACTCAAATGGCAATTAATAAATTTGAGATAGAATCTCTTAAACAATTTACTCATTCTTTTGAAGCCTTTGAAAATTTAACTGATGGAATGTTTACTCTTCATATGTACAAAGAAAGCTATGAATTTGCTAAGAAAGAAGAAGAACAATTAGAGAATGTTTTTGAAGATAATTTAAATACAGAAATGTCTCTCTATAGAAATTATTTTGGTATCTCTATTAAAAGATTACTTGAAGAAGAAAATAGGATGAACGCACAAATTCCAATGGGATTAGAAAAAGCTCTCAAATATTTGTATTCTAATGGTCTTGATAAAGAAGGATTGTTTAGAATAAGTTCAACACCTGATAAGTTGAACTTTATGAAAATAAAATTTTTAGCAATTAATTATTGTAATGAAGATCCTTATCTTGTTGCAAATTTGGTTAAAACATTCTTTAAAGAAATTCCAGGAAATTTAATTCCAAAAAGTTCAATCCCATATTTCCTTGGATGGTATGGTTTGTTTTCTTAAAATCTATTATTTTTATATACCTTTTTTGTTAATTAATCCATACTAATGAATATAGACTCTTTAAAACAACTAGAAAAAAATAGTGAACCTGAAGATATAAATAAACAAGATGAAAAACAATTAGCCATTAAAATAAATGCGGATCTTCCATTGTCAATTCCCTTAGAAAATTATACTTGTCTTAAGTATTTAGTTGCACTTTTATATGAGTTATCCAAAAATCCAAAATCAAAAATGACACCGAGTACTATTTCTACTTGTATCTCTCCTTCTATATTCTATTGTGACCCTTCACTAAAAAATGAAAAACTTCTTGAGTACAACCTCAAGATCAACCAAATATTTTCTTTTATCATTTCACATACACCTGTGGTATTCCCATCTGCTAAACGTTGTTTTACGTCAAGACAAAAAAGTATTTTTTTGCAAAACCCAGACTCAACTGACTCTTCCGATTCACAACCATCTTGTCACTCTTCGAGTTCACAACCTCCACCTTCTCAGTTTATTACTGAATCTCCAAGAACATTATCTACAACGATCTTAATTGATAAAAAAGCTAAAGAAAAGAAGAAAGAAAAGAAATCAAAAATGTCACCTCTTCAAAATCAAGGAAGTATAATGGAAAAAAATATTCCTGGTCTTCAAGAACAACCCTCATCTACTCCACGCTTTAAATCTCCACGATTTTTTGGAAAACGAGGAACTTTATTTGAATCTTCGAGGTTAAGTTTAATGTGACGTGTGTTAATTTAATTTGTGTAGTTGTTTAAAAGAGTACTCAATTAGTTTTGTTTTTCTTTGATTTTTTACAGCAAAGAATACAATATAAGATATTGACTATGAACGCTATAATTGAATAAATAGCTAATAGAATAGTGACTGGAATACTAATAACAATGAAGGTTAATACTTCTTTTGGTAATAATCCACCAGCTGTTTCAAGGACTTTCATTGCTTGATTAGAAAATTCCCATGATGTTCTTGCTGATGGAACGTGATAATGTTCATTTTCTTTTGTATTATTCACAACATCATTACGAAGTCCTAACGCAACAAAAACTTTATGAGCAAGATCTGGTCTATCTGTTAAAATACCTTTAGCACCTAACCCAATTGCACGTGCCATCTCAACTTCATTATTCACAGTGAAATACATAAATGGGGTATCAAGCTCATCTTGTAAGACTTTGTAAAAACCATCAGTCAATATATCAAATCCTTTCATAGACAAATAAGGTGCAAAAAAGTATTCAACATTATTTGGGTTTAAAAAGTAATACAATCGACTTAAACCTAATGCTCCAGCTAGGCCCATACTTAATCCTTCAACTTCATCATTTTCAGTACAGAACATATTACCAACTTGTTGTCTGAAATATACTTGCATAGGATGATAAGAACAGTCAATACAAACTTGTTTATTAATGTTTGGATATTTCTTTAATTCTTGAACTAACATATCAACAGAGGCACTTACTTTATCCTTTAATTCAATAGAAATCCTAACATCTTTACCATAGAACTCATCTAATAATTCATTTAATGTTGTCATAGTAATTCCTTTTCCTCTTAATGGATATGTTTTACCATCTTCTGTGAACCAATAACCAGCATCAACTTTTTTAAGTTCGGCCAATGTGAAATCTTTAACTTGACCTTTAATGTTAGTTGTTCTATTTAACCAATAGTCATGTAATAAAACAAATTTATTGTCTTTTGTCATTTGAATATCACACTCTAACAAATCAACATGGTACTTATAATATGAAATCCTCATTGCTTCAAGAGTGTTTTCAGCATATATCCCTCTTCCTCCTCTATGAGCCACAAGTACTGGAAAATTATTATATTCAACTTGGTGATAATCCCATCCATTTTTTGGTTTAACTATTGCATTTAATAGCAATAGTATTCCATAAATCAAAGCAGTAGTTATAAAAACAGATTTAATAAATGAAATCATTCTCATATAAATTTATGAAAGTAGATTATAAGATTAAAAAAATAGGGTTTTATCTCAGAAACTGATTTTGAAGTAAATTCGTTTAAAATTCCTTCAGTTAAGATTCTTTATTGTTAAGAGAGAAAAATGTTTTTGTTGATATTAAACAATTAACTGATAAGAAGGTCTTTTGTTTCAACCATACTATTACAAATGCCAAAGTTTCAATAGTCAACACATCATTAACAATACTAAAACACATAATACTAAAACAATAATCAACAAAGTTAAAACGAAAGAAGGTATATAAGATTTTATTGTTATCAATATTGTTAAAACCATTAAAAAGTAACTACATAAATACGTTACTTTATTCAATAACTTAAGCAAAGAATTCCTAGTAAGTTAAAGAAGATAAAAACAACAAGGGAAATTACATTGAACCATTCTAAGAGAAATAGAATCAATATTTTCTTTTCTTATTTAGTACTAAATAAAAGATATAAATTATCTGTTTGACCAATCAGAACAATAAATGGTTACCAAGACAATTTAGATGTTAATTTAGTATCTGGTTAGTTATTAAAGGTATAGACAGAAGAAACAAGAGAAAAAAGTTTCAAATTAAAAATAAAGAGATATGACAACAAAAAAATTAGATAATAAACACTACAAAGATTTAAAGAAGTAGGAATCGAAATGGCCAATAATAGTATAAGAGTGTTAGTAAAGAATTAATTAATGAAACATATCAGACATGAGAACAATCTAGAAATAAGTATCAAATTACAAATAAAATTTCATTGTTTAAAGAAATAAAAAATACTTATTTTAAAAATTTTAATAAACAACGAAAAGAGCAAAGAATGAAAATTATGATACAATCTAACTATGACCACCAAAACTCTAAAAAGAAATGTATTAAATCAAAACTTAAAATAAATGATAAAAAAAATAAAAATATACAAGATAAACATCTGGTAGTTTATTTGGTTGTTGTTATTTATATTAGATGAGAAGTTTTTATGAATTATTCAAAATGCTAAAGAAAAAAAAAAGAAAATTAATTCTCATAATATTTTTATTCAAGACAAGAGAACCAATTTTACTTAAAAAAGAAGTATTTTAAGTAAAGAAAATTTAAACAATTAATTAGGCTTAAATCAAATAAAGTTTTAGATTCAGTAATATTTTTATTAATGAATGCTACCATAGACATAATTATGGAAGTGAAGAAATATTTAAATCTATAACCAAGAAATAACATAAAGAAATAGAAAATATAAATATACAATATCTACTTCATTGTATAACATCAACAAATTATTTAATTATAATTAATTACAACAAATACTTATTAACATGAGATGATATTAAATTTACAAAAGACTAAAAATTCTTCAAGATAATAAACAAAAGAAAACATATACTATTGATGTAACTATTGTACAAAATAAAAATATAACAACCAACTATTAAATAAATTAATAAATATAAAGTATTACAAATTAAGAATCTAAAGATGAGATAAGTAGAAATCATTCAAGTCATGATACGTACTGGTTGATTTAGTCATAAGTTATCACCAAAAAATTAAAAGAAATAGAAAATGGTTTAGGCACAATAACGATATAATGTTACCACAAATCAAACAAACGAAATACATTATGTATTGATTATATAATGACCAGAATTGTAATAATATAAAATATAACTAAATTAACCAATACAGTACTCTTGTAATATAAAGAATGGTGAATAAATTAACAATAAATATAATATTATGAATTCTCAAAACAAAGAAAACATGAATAAACATGTATAAATTATTTTTTATTTTTTTTATGAATGTTATTTTTTAAATAAACTTAATTTATAGGATTAATTTATTACTGTTATCTCTTTATTTTTGGAAATGTTTTTATTTAATTTAATGTTATTAATTGATAATTTTTCTGTTATTAAAGACACTAAGTTATCGTGTGTAATACCCAACCTTTATTCGGTATAAAATGATTATTTAGATTAGTTAATGAAATGTTATTGAGTCTACCCCATAAACGAGAAAACTTACTTGAGAAAGAAAATTTTAAGTTAAATTGAATTAAGAAGTTAGTACCTTTTCATTTTAATCAATCACTTTTTTTCTTAATCTCTGACTCTTTAACAATTACTGCTCGTTCTCTTTTTTTAATCTTTTCTAATGTTGGAATAACTTTTTCATTATGTTCATTTAAAATACTCGTTTCTACTGTATCAAAATATTGCAAAGGGTTACTTGGAAGTTCATTTAATAATTCTTCTCTTCCTTTCCAGATGTCTTGTTCTTCAATGTTTTCACACTCCATTTATTTTCAAGAAGATCTCATAATTCATATGGTAGTTTCTCCTCCTATAAAATTATTAATCATTGGAATTATAACTCGGCTTACCTATTATTTGTGGGTGATACTCTCATCATCCATTTTGCCTCCATACGATTTACAAACCTATCTTCTTTCAGAGAACGTATCTCCATATCTTGCTCCATTTGCTAGTTGGGATGGTGTCCATTTTCTGTCTATTGCAATGCATGGATATATCCATGAACACCAACATGCTTTCTTCCCATTGTATCCATTAACCATTCGTTTATTTTCATTAATTGGCACAATATCTGGATTTAGTGAAGTAGACATTTACATTGTTTTTGGTCTACTTATTTCTTTAGTATCTTTCCTTATTGGATTATTAACATTATACGCTATTACAAAAAATCTTATGGGAGAGGTATATGCATTTAAAACTGGAGTTTTATTCTGTTTTGCTCCAGCATCAGTATTTCTTACTTCTGTTTGTTTTCATTTGTGTTATATGCATACCTCATTGGCTCATTAATTAGGTTTATACTGAATCATACTATGGATGTTTCTCATTGTTAGCTTGTTATTACTTATTCTTGAAAAATAATATTATTCTTTCTTGTGTTTTCTTTGCGTTGGCATCATTTACAAGAAGTAATGGATTAATCAACATGGGTTTTGTGTTGTATTATTTTATTAACACAATGGTACCTTTTTCAAGCTTCCCACATGTACAAAAACGTATTTCTGTTAGACACATCATCAACACTGTGTTACTATCAATATCTAATCTCGGTCCCTTTATGATTTATGTCTATTTGGCTTCATCTCAATTTTGTAATTTAGATCCTCTTCCACCATATTGCAAATCTAAATTTCCTAATATGTATTCATACAATCAATCCCGTTATTGGAACCAAGGTTTCTTAAAGTATTGGAGAATAAAAGAAATTCCCAATTTCTTATTATGTGCACCAGCTGCAGTAATTTCATTAGTTTCGACAATTGTATATCTTAAAAAGTATTTTGAGCGTCATCCACTTTTTCATTCTATTATCAAAACTTCAGAATCTAGTAATCCAAAGAGGTTTATGTTACAAAACGATGCATTAGTTTATGTTGTTCATTTGTTCGTTATTGTAGTTTTTGGTTTATTCTGTATGCATACTCAAGTTATCACACGATTTATTTCTGCATGTCCAGCTTTTTATTGGGGATTACTTTGGTTAACTGAACAAAAGCAGTTTGGAGTAATTCGTTATTTACCAATTTTCTATTCAACTTTCTTTACTTTCTTTGGTGGAGTGATGTTTGGATCATTTTATCCATGGACATAAGTGAATAACATGAATCGATGATTATTTGTTTATGAAAGTGTTGTGTTATTTTTTATGAAAAGGAAAAAGATTTTTTATATCTTTTTTTGATTCGTCATTGGTTAATTATTTATTATAATAAAACTAAAAGAAGTAATAAAACAAAAAAAGAAAAAAAACTAAAAATACTTTATTTATGCAACAAATTAAGTATCCCACAACTATCTCATTATTATCTTATGGAACATTTGGGAAACCTATCGATGGTTATGTAGAAATTAATATTCCTTTTCCAACTTTTATTAAAAAAATTCAGTTGGTTGTTGTTTCGTGTTTTACTGGTGTAAAACTTACTGGAGTAACACCTCCTCCAGTACCTCCTTTAACAGTTGACTCTAATATCGATCAATGGCAACGTCTAACAAGTTATCTCTCACCAATATTAACAGTAGATTGTACAGAAGATATTGTATGTAAAAAGCCAAATTCAAGTCCATCATTCATAAAAGAACTTCCACCAGGAATTCATCGTTTTCCATTTTCATTTATTTTACCTCAAACACATTGTCCAATGTTAGTATTACCAAATGAAGAAAGAATTAGATTTGTT